AAATGTCAATGTCTTCCAACGTTTTGTACTTTATTAATGAACTGCAATTTTTGCAATTTCCACTCAGCATGCAACTGGATGTGAACACAGATGTATCACAATATGACAAGCTCTTGGTGTTTTCACGTTAAGTACATCTAGAAACACAAAGTATGAAAAATAGAGTTTCTTTTTTGTAACTGTGGAAACTACTAGCAATAATGAGAAAATGATTTTTTTGAAAAAGTCGACGTCGATCATCGGAAGAATAAGCTTGGCAGTTTTTGATGGGGCACCTAAGATTTTTTTTTTTTTATTTGCATTCACTCCCAACAAGGCTGCAAGCAACCACTATTAAGTTGGGAGTTACTAGGAATAAAAAAAGAACAGAGTTATAGAGCAAGGAAACGGTTGACAGAAGACTTGAAAAGTTGAAGGTTGTATGAGTCAGGAAAACATGAAGATGGGAGAGAGTTCCAAAGGATTAAAGTGCGAGGAAAAAAACTAGATGAATAAAAGTTTTTAGAGCATGCAGGGACAGATACAGTAAACGAATGAGACTTAGCTGAATGACGAGTAAAACGAGAATGAATTTTAGTTGATGGAACTAGAGATGATAACTCCTTTGAGCAGTGACCATGATAGTATCTGTAGAAAAGAGAAAGAGATGCAACTTTACGACGATGGGAAAGAGGTTCAAGCTTAGCAGATAGTCCAGGTCCAATAACATTTACAATGCGTTTTTGGACCTTGTCAAGAAGAGAAAGTGAATCGTTAGAAGAACCAGCCCAAATATGACAACAGTATTCCATACAGGGACAAATAAGAGATTTGTTGAGGTAGAGAATGGAATCAGAAGTAAGGAAATGGCGAGCACGATAAAGAGAAGCAACCTTAGCAGAAGCTAATTTAGCAATCGATTGTATATATGGTTTCCTTGAAAGGTCAGTAGTAAGCGAAAATCCAAGAAGACGTAAAGAGGACGACTCAGTGAGAGGATTGCCATTCATTAATATAGGAATGTTGACCATATTACGGTAGTTGTTTACAGTAAGCAATTGGGTTTTTTTAGAGTTGAAATTCACAAGCCACTGTGAACCCCAATCTATTACTGAAGTGAGATCAGATTCAAGATCAGCTGCTTGTTCTAGGCGATCGAAAAGAGAAGACTTTTTGTCAAGACAGGAGTATAAAGTTGAGTCATCAGCAAAAAGAGCTACTTTAGATGAAAGGTTGTCAGGAAGATCGTTTATGTAGATAAGAAACAAAACAGGGCCCAGGATGGAACCTTGGGAAGCCCCAGAAGTTACTGGAAATAAAGAAGAGTGTTGGCCTTCAAGGATGACTTTAATAAACCGGTCAGAAAGAAATGATTTGATAATCTCAAAAACTTTCCCAGAAACACCATATGAAGCAAGCTTATGGAGAAGACCAGCATGCCAAACTTTGTCGAAAGCTTTAGATATGTCGAGAGCAATAGCCCTAGCCTCACCGCCTCCATCTAATGCACGATAAAATCTTTCAGTTACAGCAGTTAGCAAGTCGGCCGTAGAGCGAGAGGATCGAAAACCGTATTGATTGTCTGACAGCAGTTTATTTGACTCAAGATGAGATGTGAGGAATTTGTTGATTAAAGACTCAAAGACCTTGCTAATAACAGAAAGAATAACAGACTGATCGGACGATAATTGGAGGGGTCAGAATTTTCTCCAGAGTTTTTGAATATTGGAACCACAGATGCCATTTTCCAACAAGCAGGAAAACAAGACTCAGTCAAACACTTGTTAAATAGTTTAGAGAGAATTGAAGAAAGTTCTGGAGAACAATTCTGCAAGACTGTGACAGGAATGTTGTCTGGACCACAAGCTGTAGACGAGTTTAATTGAGATATCACTTTAGCAACAGAAGCCGGAGTGATTTGAATGTCTAACAATGGGTCAACCTGTTTGACTGGAATGGAAGGAAGAGAATGTCCATAAGATTTAAGAGTGGAATTAGAAGAAAAGTTCTTTGCAAACAGTTCTGCCTTATCCCTGGGAGAGGTAACAAGATCAGTCCCATGAATGAGAGATGGAATGTTAGATCTACCCTTGTTAACAATGCTGTTGAAGATTTTCCAAAAGTCTTTAGAGCCTAACTTCTGCGATAAGATGCGAGATTTAGTGAACTGACAAAAATGGAGTTTAGCGAGAATGTCCATAAGATTTAAGAGTGGAATTAGAAGAAAAGTTCTATGCAAACAGTTCTGCCTTATCCCTGGGAGAGGTAACAAGATCAGTCCCATGAATGAGAGATGGAATGTTAGATCTACCCTTGTTAACCATGCTGTTGAAGATTTTCCAAAAGTCTTTAGAGCCTAACTTCTGCGATAAGATGCGAGATTTAGTGAACTGAGAATAATGGAGTTTAGCATCAGAAAGCACCTTTTTACATCAATTTCTTGCAATAATAAATAGCCGTTTGTTCTCAAGAGAGTTGTTCTTTTGAAAAAGATGAAAAAAATGGTTACGATTGGATATAGCAGCTGCACAAGAAGGAGAAAACCATAGAGTAGAGTGAGGCTTGACTTGAAACCGACGAGAAGGAATAAAAGCTTCCATTCCAGCCTGAATCCAGGAGGTTACCTAGGAGGCACATTTGTCAGCTGAGTGAGAAAAAATATCAGCCCAAGGACCATCACGAAGAAAGTCACGAAAGGAATCCCAGTCAGCTTTAGGGTAGTAGTAGGTGGTGCGATGATAAGGTGAGCCCAAAAAAGAAGTACGAGAAGAAAGATTTATAGAGATCATTGCATGGTCAGAACCACCTAAGGGAGAAAAGGGAGAAACTGAACATAAGCTAGGGTCAGAGACAAGACATAAGTCAAGGAGTGAAGGTAAATGATTAGGGTTGTCAGGAAAACGAGTCACAAAGTTAACTATCTGAGTAAGAGATTGAGAAACGCAGAAGTTAAAGGCTTTAGTGCCAGCAGGATCAGTGGTGTTAGAGCCAAGCCATTCAGTGTGATGGGCATTAAAATCACCAACAACAACAATATTGGCAGAGGGGTAAAGAGAGAGGGCATGGTCAATTTGATCAGAGATAACATCTAAAAGAGTAACCTAAGATACTTAGAAATACTTCTGATTTTGCTGCCTTGGTCAAGAAAGTGGTTTCTAATACCACAATAACTAATTGCTTTTTACATCTACATATATTGGCATCATAAACTTTTATTTAATTGAAAGAAATTATGTCAACGTGTATCAAAATAATTAACTTTATAACAGCCAGAGCTTTAAAACACCGGCTTTTTAAATAACTTTGTCATAAAATGAGATCTGACCACGAGGTATTGCTTTATTATACAGAAATTCGCTGGTTATCAAGAGAACAAGTTTTGGAGCAATTATTTGGAGCGCTTGATTGAGCGCTTATTTGAAGTCTCTGGTACTGTCTTTATAATTCAAAAATATTTCTACGCATAGATATTTTTACGCGGAGATATTTTTGAAAGATAAAGAAATCGTTGTATCAAGTTTTGTAGACTAAAAACTTTTTTCCAGAACTAGCTTACTTAACTGATTTTTTCAGTTATTTGAACTAGATAAGCTAGTCTCATTAGGGTTCTGCTGTAACTATCACAAATGCAACTGAAAAGTTAAATTTTTTTTTGCTAAGCTGCTGTTTGGGAAAAAGAGTGTAGATTTCGGTGCAACCGAAAATTTTTGTATGTTAAAAAAAACTTCCTTCGTACAGGAAAGTATAATCAACTTTTATCGGTAGTTTAAATGAAAAAGTACAAAAAGAAGTTTCAAAACATTTCGAAACAGAATTTTTTTGAAGGGTAAAATAACTCAAAAAGCTTCAATTAGGAGACATGAGTGCAAAATCCAATTAATGATGATTTAATTGGCGTGAGATCCAAATCAATATTGGGAAGATGAAATTCAAGTAAAGGATGTTTGTGATTTTTGGTTTATTTTAGAACAAACCTACCCTCTCCTTGTTAAAAAACCAATATCCATATTAATTTCATTTCTAAGCATTAGTTTCAATAAAAATTAAAAATCGTAACAGATTAGACGTCAAAGACAATATGCGTTTTACGTTGTCTACCATTGCTCAGTTTGCTGTGCTTATAAAAAAGAAACAACAACAACCATCTTATTAAACAACTGTCATGCGCTAAATATTACTTATAAATAATACTAATTAAAAAGGTGTTTTTCAAATTTTTTTCTTTCCAAAACAAAAAAAAAGTTAGGGAGGGGCCCGTCAGATTGCTATAATTGCTGGTGTAGGGTAACCTAATCATTATTAGTTTGTGGCATGATGAGCATATAAATCTTGCTCTCAATTGCCATGTCATAAATTGTTCTAAAGTAACTATAACTGTTGTAAATTTTTATAAATTGTTTTATTTCATGTCATAGAAGTTATGTATTTCTCATACGTAAACATTAAACAAAGTAGCGGAAGTAGAGTTTTATTAAAGTATTTTTTCAAGAATAAAAGCTACCAAATCTGATGTTTCTAAATAAAAAAGCATTTATTTAGTAGACCTCGGAGAAAACAAATTAATTTTGCAAACTACGACTGCAGTGCTCTACGTATGATGAGCAGTGCTCTACACATGAGATTTGCGTATTTTGAGAGCATCTTATATTTTCTATTTTTTGTTCTTTTTGTTGAACTTAATGTTTTTAAATGCCATTTTGATAAAAAAAGTAGTTTATCTATCTAACAATAAGTTTCTTAATGACTCGAAATTTTTTTCTGTTTTTTATATCAATCTTAGTAAAATCCTGATCGTGGTCACTCTTCCCCTACCTCATTGTATAAAAAGATTGTTGTAAATTTATTTCATTTACTGTATTGTTTGTTTATGCATGATAAGCATTTAATATGATAATTTGATGATTGGTTTTACTCGTTTAAAAGTTATGAAAAAACTTTTGGTAAAATTTAAGTAAAGGATGTTTTCAGTAAACGGCTTAGAAACTTCCGTAGTTTAAACTAATTATTTACAAAATAAACAATTTATAAACATGGTTGTATTTTCAATTCAATAAACATGTTTATGTCTTTATTTAAGTTTCAAGTTTGTCTAACGAAGTGAATGCAATTATAAACATTTGTAATAAAAAGTATAATTGCTGTAAATTAAATTAAACTTTAGTTATGTAGTGTCATTATGCATTTTATTTTTACATGGGTTAATCTTTGACTGGTTAACTCGCTTTTTACCAAGTTCAACAAATAGTAGTTGTGTTATGCAATGGATAGAACGAATTTGCAACATGGACTTTGGTTTTTTCTTTTCCATATTAACATTGAATAAGAGTATTTCTTATTTTGAAAATAACGACATATATTATATAGCAACGCATAACAATGCTCTAAAAGTCATACTTGGTGTTTATCAATGTTTTTGGCGTGCTAGTTTCTATTAAACCTAATTTGGAAAAACGATAAATCAACGTTTTTTCCTTAGCGTCACAGAATTTGGAAACATATTATCTTTCTTCTTATAAGGGATTGTATAATCTTTCTTTTTATATGGAAACGCATCGTCTTTCTTCTTATACGGAATTCTCATTTTTGGATTTTTACCTATTTTAAAATTAACTTTAGCGTTTTGAGTTAACAATGAACTTTTATAGCCTACTTTTATTTTAGGGTTTTGTTTTGGTTTTTTATTCACTAAATTACTGGACAATGACTCTTGACCTGAAGATGCTATTGGTTGATTGAGCTGAGGATTAGATCCTGCCGGAGAAGAAACAGGTTGTCCGAGTTTTGGGAAATCTGGAATACCTGGCGGAGGACCGTAAGAAGGAATAGGCATTCCATTGGGAGGTGGTACTCCAGCCCATCCACCACCTCCGCCCCATCCAAAACTTCTTTCGCCATACCCATGTCCACTTCCTGAACCAAAACCATAGCCAGACGTCTGAGGCTTGTTTTGTTCATGATGAGCTGCGCCATTAGCAGCGGGAGCTTTAAGAGCTCCGGGAGAAGAGGCAGAGTTTGTTGCAGGAGATGATTCAGAAGGTAGTGAGTTGGATGTTGAAGGCGATAATGCTGGTGATAATGGAGAAGCTGAAGGGGATATCTCATTTGAAACAGGAGAGGGTACTGGAGGAGATAAAGGAGACGAGACGCCTGGAGGTGCTTCACTGGGTGATTTGTGAGCTAAAGAACTTGATACTTTTTCTTCCAATCCTTCATCGTCATCCAATTTATCATTTTTATTTATTTTTTTTATTGATTTTTGTTTAATATTTAGATATAAATTTGTTGCCTCTTCAGGAATAGTTTGTTGATAAGCAATACTTGGTCCTGTAGGATGTTTTGGCTTTAAAACAGACATTACATTGTTTGGAACTTGCTGCATCCCGCTCCAATGCTTAATTGGTATTCCACTAGTCTTTTTTTTTGATGCTGCATTCGTTTTCTGAACTGGGCTGCTGTAAATATGCTTTAGAATTTTTCTATTTACAATTTTTCCACGTAAAAATCCCCTTTGAGGGGCTATACCTCTTAATTTCCACAAGTCTATCATTTGTGATGACATTGGTGCGCCTGGATTTACGCCTGCTGGTAAAAAAAAGTCTCCGGTTGTGCCATATTGCTGTTCTTTAATAGAACCAAGTGGTTGAACATTATTATTATATGTGGATGCCGAAGCTGTTGAATTCAAAGGATCAATAAGTTGATCTGTTTTCACATTTACAATGTTTGTTGGCGTTAAATATTGCCGGTCTTTATAGTCCGTATCTTTGACAACAGGTTTTGCAAGATCATTTTTTGATAAAAGCTCTCCTTGTGTGTCATCAGCAAAGTTGTTAACATACGCATTTTTATTTTTACCCCCTATTTCAGTTTTAAGAAAAGAAGATTGAGAGTTTTCTCTCAGCTGTTGATTGGTTGTAAGCACTTCGTTTAAAGGTTCGCCTTCCGATGAGGTGCTTTGATAAGCTGGCAAAACATAGTTTTCTACTTCTGTGTGTAGTACTGAACTATTTTGTTTTAGCGATGAGTAATCTCCAGCAATAGATGTTGAAAACTTGTTGGATGCTTCCATATTTTCTTGTTCTTTTTCTTTTGCTTGAGCATAAGCCACTTTGTTATTAAATGGAACTTCCTCAGCATTAACGGCAAAACCAACATTATGATAACTACCTTTTTCATTATTTGTTTGGGTTTGAACTTGATTGTTTTCAGATTGGTATTCGTGCTTCTCCAGATTTTGCATATAGAGATTGTTCAGTTTCTCCTCTTTTTCGCGTGCAAATAGTTCTTGTGCTTTTTGGTTTTCGTTTTTCATGAAAGAAATATCTTGTTGGTGTTTATAGAGTTCGTTTTGATTAGAACTTTCCTGATCACTTTCATCCGTTCTTGTTTCAGATTGTGGTTGGTTTACATTGTTTGAAGCTAAAACCTTGGAATCAGTATTAACAAACTTAGAAGAATCAGGAAGTTGATCTTGAATTGCAGATGGATTGGGTGTTATTGCAGAAAAACTTTGGGCATGAAACTGTTCACTTTCTTCCTTTAAAGGAGTAATAGTTTGAGAAGAAACACTGTTTGTAATTAGATTGCTTGACATCTCCTCTAAGTTATTCATGTTATTAGAATTCATTGGTAATTTTTCGTTAGAAGTAGAATTTTGAAACATTTCAAAGTGGTTTCTTGCTTCTTGTGGTGTCTCTGCAGTGATCGTAATTTCATCATCTTCATTCTTTCTTGCAGAAGCATATTGTTCATTTTCTTTTGCTAGTATTTCATCAGAGTTTGTTTGCGACACAACATTTTCATTTACGTTTTGACCTTTGTACAGGACAACATCAGGTAGGTGCTGCACAGCTTCGTTTAGTGGAGTGGTTTCGCTTTGCTCTTTAACAAGTTCTTCATTTTGTTTAACTTGGTCTTCAAAAGCTACGTTTTGAGTTTGTTTTTCCACATTCTGCTTTGCTTGTTCACTTGCATCGGTTTGTAAAGTTATATTTTTATTTTCATTAATGGCTTTAGTTTGGTCTTCGAGATTTTCGCATGAATCGCAAACGTTTTCTTCGTACTCTTTAGAATTCAAATTTTCTCCATTAACATCTTTATTCGGTAAATCAGAGGTTGTTGTTGATAATGCTTGTGTCTCAGTAGAATCCTGTGACGAATCGCTTTCAATATTTGAAACTTGCTGGACAGTTTCTTCAGTCTGCACGCCGGGTTGTACTCCTAATTGAGAATTTAAAACAATTAAGTTTATACAGTATTTAAATTCAAATACACTTACATACAAACTTACTATTTACTAATATTGTAGAGGGTTAACTATTGCTATTTATTTTTTTTAATTTAGCATATATGGCAATGTATACAATAAATTTTAGTATTATAGAAAAATGTTTTATGAAGCATCAGCCCCATAAAAAAAAACAGATAACACTTATATAAACCATACATGTACAATATAAAACATATATATATATACTAGTTTAAAACATATATGTATTATATAAAACATATATGTGCACTTATATAAAACATATATGTACTATATAAAACATATATTTATACTTATATAAAACATATATGTATTATATACCATCTTCTATCTGTTGATGAAATAGTGCTTCTTTAGTTCCAGTATTTGGAGTACTTTCAACTTTATTTTCCTGGGCTCTTGCTACTAAACCGCCGGTCATCAAATTTTCTTCCTGAGGTTTATTTTCAACTTTTGTTGCACCAGATCTTTCAAAAGCCGCTTCTTCATTATTTGTATCAGCCTCGTTTTTTAATAACTTATTGTTTGACAAAGTCATAGTCGAACTGTCTTGAACTTGTGCTACTTCTTGTTTTTCAGCAGGTGCATACATTGCACTAAAAGAATTTTCGATGATAAAATTATTATGTTTTGAGGGATTAAGTAAAGAGTTGGGTTTGGTATTTTCGTTAGCCGCTTTAAATTGGTTTAATGTTTTGATAATCGGCTTCTGAGATAATATCGCGGGTTTCTGAGACATTATCGCGGGTTTTCCATAAAAAACTTCTGAATGGTGCATACCTACTTTATTGTTATTTTTAGACAATTGGTTATCAGCTATGCTTTTTGCACTAAAACTCTTTTGTTTCTGTAACTGATTGTTGTTTTTCGATAATAGTTTATCAGATAAATTTTTATCTGTAAAAATCTTTTCTTCCTGTGATCTGTGAAGTTTATTTAATGGTTTTGACTGGTCTTCATCGCTATGGATTTTTGTTTGAGTTTTGAAACGATCGTTTTGATTTTTCTGATTAAGAATATATGCATTGTTTTGCAGCTTTTCTTTTGTATTGATCTATAAACAAAACTATAACAATAACACTTTTAAACAATGCCTGTAACTCAATACAGCGCAAACAACGACAAAATTTATTAATCAAAGCAACGCTAGAAACATTAGTGACAACATTACAGTCAATAATCACAATTACAAGCTCTACCCAGTGGGGATGCGTTTTCCTAAGGACGTTTATCAGACGTCTGGATGTCCTCTACTGACGTTGCATGCCCACTAGGAGTAAGTAATAGGCAAATGCAGAAATAACACCACAAAAAGAAAAAGAACAAAATAAAAGCAAAATCAACAACAGCAATAATAAAGCATATTACTTACCTTAAATGGCAAAGAGGGCCGAGAAGAAGTTTGAATTTTCACACTGTTTTCAAATGATACATTCTGCTCGTTTTCTAATTGAGCTTCTATAGAATCAGTTTGATCAGAAACTGCTTTCTTTGCATCCGATATTCTTTTTTCCCCAAGAACACCTTTTTCTTCCAGTGTTTTCTGTGTCACAGTGAGTTCTTTATTTATCTTCCACATATTTGATGGGGGAGGGTAGATTGTTTTAAGAAGCTCTTTATCGTTTTTTTTAGGAATTTCATCACGAACCATTCCACTTACCTCAGAGTCGTTCGAGATCTTTTCATATGTCGGCAGTTTATATTTTTGTTGCGCGTGTTCAATTTCGATGGTTTGATTATCATTTTTATAAAAATTACTAGAAAATTTAGTTTTTTTCTTTCCATATCCATATTTTTGCTTTCCATATCCATATTTTTTAAATATATTTTTCATTGAAGTTTTATATTTTAAATTCTTTCGAAGTTTTTTTTTTCGAACGTGCTTATTAGTGTTTTTTTTCGCTTTTTTTAAAACAGCATTGTGTTGAATTTTAAAAGGTTCATTGCTGTTTGTTTTGACAACATCATTGCCGTGAGCTTGACTAACATAATTTTCTGGAACTTGATTGGTAGAATTAAGTTTAAAACTTTTATTTTGCTTATTAATAACTGTAGTATTTAAAGGAATAATACTTCGTACGTCCAAATCATGATGTTCATCTAAAAAAGTTCAATCAAATATGTTAATAAAAAAGTAAATAAAGAAAAATAGTTTAGTTTTTTATTTAGTAAGAGCATTCTTTATTAAATCATTTCCCCTCTATGTTTAATCATTTCCCTCTAAGTTTATGGATGCTGTTAATATATATTTACAATGAGTTGATTAAATTAAGCGAGTCAATATTTTTATAATACTTATGTGAAACACTCATTTTGTTAGTTGAAATGTTGTTTTTATTTAATTTAGTTGTAGAAATCCTTTTATTGTTTCTTAGCACTTTACTTGTCTCATTTACTATTTATCGTCATTATTCGATCATTTTTAATTAAAGTTGTATGTTTTTAAATTTGTATTTAAAAAAATGTAATTTTAAATAAAAACATTCATAAAATAATTTGAACAATGAAACTTAATTGCATTATTTCAATGTTAGGTTACACAACCTAATCAACCTTACCAGACACCAGTACACTGCCAGATACAATCATATGTACAGGCGATCCGCCAACGTCATAAAATTCGGTCACGTCTTCTTCAAGTGAACAGTCTACAAAAGCGGACAAGTAATGTAGTAGAAGTAACCAAAAGTGTATCATATTTTTTTGACGTCACACACCACCACCACCATATTTTTTTGAAAAGTTTTTTATATAAAATGCAATGGCATTTTTTATATATACTTAGGTATTGACTTTTTAGTATTTTCCGTCAGCAAGTAACAGCGAGGTATTTTTTGCTTTTTTTACTAATAGTTGTATGACATTTACTTTTGTTCTGTATGATTTATGTGTTCGTTCGGGCGTAAAACTGAGTCTTGTTTTTTTTGCACGCATGACGGATTCTTTTTATATAGCCTATTAAAAGGTCTTTTACCGCAAAAAATACATTATCTTTTTTGTTTTTTTATTTTTTTTTAAAAGAAAAAATTTCAATAATTAACACAACTCGTACCTGAGCATAGAAATCTGCGCATTATCAATTGGAAGATTGTCTAGTGGCGCCAAATACTCTTACAAATTTATTTACTTTTATTTTAATTATTTATAGATTTAGTATTTTTTTCCATGAACTTTATGTTTTCCATGCTTTATACGCTTAAAGATTTTTATACAGTTATAATACAAATATATTTTTAATAATTTAAGGTGGTACATAACCATAAAAAATAAAATTGGAAATAAGACAATGCACAGCAATTTTTTAATTTTTTTTTTCATTTAAAATAAACTATTCAGAAATAATTAAATTAAAAAAGTAGTTAATTAAGTATTTTTGCCTCGATTATAACTGAAAAATTGATATTTTGATGATATATTGTAAACAAAATATTTAAAAAACCTATATAGTTAAAGACTTGAAAATTTTACCAGTTTTTTATTGTATTGTAATGCAGGAATTGAACTAAAACTAAGTCATAATACAAAGTAGTTCAGAAGATATTGACATTTTTTACTTGTTGATTATATTTTGTATAGTTAGGATTTATAAAAAGCGCTATAAGATGACAAGTTTTGTGTATAAAATAATAGTTTTAGTTCAACTCTTGCCATTAAAGCTTAAGAATATACAGGAAAAATTTCAACCTACAAGCTTATCCTGATCTTGAATTATCATGTTTTAAAGTTAACGAAATGGATATAAATTAAATACTGAGAAAATTGCAAAAATAAAGATAAACTGACAAAAAATATTATGGTTTACTTAATATGAGCCTGCTGAATAAGTAGGTATCTCTTCATTTTCTTTTTCTTTATCTAGAACTCCTTTTCTAATGGCTCTTAATTTTCTTCTTGCTTTTACACCTTTGATTAATAGCTTTATAAACATTTCTTATGCGCTCTATATCATTTTTTATAAATGCATTATGCATAAACTGTGAAACTGGCAGTCCAAGCATTTGCATTATTGGGCTTAAACCAGATTTACCATCATTAAATTCAATGATTGCTGAACAAATACCAAATTTTAAGAGGTTTTCGCGACATTAAAAATTTCCTTCGGACATTTTTTCCAAATCATACTGTTTAAGCACTCGTTTTTATTTTGAGTTTGGCCATGCAAACATTTTAACAATAGCGATTCTGCTGATAAATCATGCCAAACTGGCATTAACAAATCTTTAATTGTAATTGGGAGGCTTAAGTTTTTCTTGTATGTTTTATTACCTTTTAAATTGTCAGCCTGCCATAAACACCAGGTATCTTTGGTGCGTGGACAAAACTGATGACTAATACTTTCATCCAAAATGTTTGTATTATGAAACATAGTTGCCCATATACATATTGTGTGTACCGATTGCAAGCAAACGATATTTTTTTTGTTCTAGAACAAATTCTTGGCATATTATTTAATAAAACTTCTAAATTAAAACAGTTGTTACAAAAAGAGTTATAATCACATATAAACAAAGCATTAATTTTAAGACTTATAGCAAACAAATTTGTACTTTGAAAGTATGATTAATAACTTTAACTTAACAAGCAGTTAAAGGGCTTTTTCATTGTCATAAACTGGTAATACATTTTTCCATATTGTCAAGGTAAAATAGGTAAAAAGATGGTTGCTAAGGACGTTGCTATGTACGAAAAATTTATTAGTCTTTAAAAAAGCTGCCTAAAACACTATTTATGTTATTTTTTTCAAAAAATAGTTCTAAAACTGTGTTCCTCATAAAATTTTACATCAAATACGATAATAATAATTTTTTTGATTTTTTTCAAAATTTCTGGTTATGTACCACCATTTTTTATAAATGAATAACTTACTACTTTTAAAGACAGTTTACATAACATCTGGTGTCTAATAAGGTTTCAATAAATATATTCTGCTCTCGATTATATTTATTCTGGTCTCAATAATATTTTTTAAATTATTGTTACTTCTTTTTGTTTCATCCACAATCGCTAAACATTTAATTGTAATTAATGTATTAATAAACATATAGGTTTATAAATTTTCACGAGTATTACTCCCTCCATTCCAAAATACTGCTCCGATTTGCATTTAACATAAAGAATTATTAAAACTAATTTATGTTCTTATAATAATTCTATTTTATTTTTACTATAAAATATATTTTACATATATTTATTATTATACTTTATATATATTTTATTATATAAAATAATATTTATTTTATTATATAAAATAATATTTATTATATTATATAAAATAGTGTTTATTTTATTATATAAAATAATATTTATTTTATTATATAAAATAATTTATATTTTAAATAAAAAATATAAAAAATTAACAAAACTTATTTTCAACAATTCTTTACGTTGCGCAGTGGTGGCATTTTTTCAAAATTTGCGAAAATCCGATATAAAAAGTTGTGATTGTGCGAGACTGTTGCAAGTTGATCATACTTTCATATTCTGAAAGGGTCTTTTTTTAAATTCATTATTATATGTTTGTTAAAATGTTACGAAAATTGACGGTGCTTAAGAAATATAAATAGAAAAAAATATTATTAACATTATAAACCACGTACAAACATAAAATGAAGGATGTTCGATACTGCAAAAATAAATTGCATAGAAAGTAAATTTTCTGATTAGAACACGAATTTATAGAACTTATCTGAATATTCTCAAACGTATCAGAAACGCTAGAACTAAATAGAGGGCGGCATACATACTTTTAAAGACAAAATAAAAATGAGCTAAAGAATTGCAATATCAAATCTGTCTGAAAATCTGAATATGATACAAAGTATAGACTCGAAACAGAAAGATACACAGCCAAACAAATAGACAACAACAATTAAGAAAAAACTTTCAAGTGCATTATAAAAATCTACCATTGGTATATGAAATCAATAAAAACCTTTTAAAAAAATTTTTTTTAAAAGGTTTTTAAAAAAAAAACTAATTTTAATAACCCATCACGTAAATCAATATTAATAACTGTTAATCACTCAACTTCAGTAAAACCAGAAACTTTACATAGAGGCAAACTAAAAAAACAAGGAATTAAACTGACGAGCAACTCAATCCAGCTCTTGAATAAATAAAATCTGCAACTCATCATTATATAAAGCATCATTTATGCATTCTATAGGCAACTTTTTTGTTCAGGATTTCGAACCTTGCAAGCTCATATTGTAGCGGCTATTGGTGGTAACTCTATTGGTGGTTGCACAGTCAACGTTTCTTTTTACTGAATCAAGATTAGATCAAATGCTTATTAAATAAGCCAATTGGGGTTTTGGTAGAACCTGCAAACAACTACTTGAACTTCTTGTTAGTTATTTACAACATACAAAACAAGATTTCTTGTTTACAAATGGTAAACCAGGCAAAACTTGGTTTTACGCTTTCATCAAACATTGAAAACATGGATTAGGCAAAATTATTCGAGTATAGAAGTGATAATTGCCGTTAAATTGCAGCACTCAAATAATAATAAATAATACATTTTTATAAATATAAATAAATATTTTAAGGCAAACAAGATAACAAGACACTCTCATTAAAGCAAACATCAGTTAATACTATGCGGCAAATACCTAAAATTTTAACAACATCAACCTCAATGGTAACAAGAGTAGTCAAAAAATTCACTGCATAGCCGAGCATCCTTCTAAAGTAACCGGAAATGATGAAAAAAAAAAACTGAACAATAAGTACTGTGTAAGTACTGCTGGAGTTGCTAGTTATAATTTTTAAAGCCAAACACCTTGTATTAAATTGATGTACACATACCCCAAAATTTACAATTTCATTGTCAGGTTGGATGGAAATCAAAGAATTAGCTTAATGGCAGACTAAAATAATTGCTATAGCATCCAAAGAATTTTTAGTACCAATGTGTTAGTACTTCATGTCAACAGCACGTATTTTAGATACTAGGTTACTCTACTTTGTATTGAAAAAACGTCAACCTTATAGACCTACCGGCTCATTTGTTACACATTCTTCAACCTTTTGATGATGAAGTCTATTACCATTTTTAAAAGATTTGACATGAAATTTTACACCTACTCATTACGCGTAAAATTTTTCTTAAAACGCTTTTGTTCAGCTTCAATAAAAATTCTTTTAATGCCGACGGTCATTTGTTTTCAAAAGTTACGGTCGAAATATCTTTTAAACGTCTATTAAACATTTTTTAAACAACTTCTTAACATTCTAACGTAAAGAACGTTTCAAAGACGTTTGAAAAATGTTTAAAAAACATTTAGAACGTAATTTTCAAAAACATATGCCTGTAGGGTAATTTCGGTAAATGTTTTAATCGCTTCAAATAATTGTTGGATTTCAAAAAACTGGTTTGTTTCATAAAAAGTTTGTTAAAAATATGTTTAAAAATTTAAAATTAACAACAATACTATGATGGAAAGACCACACATATCAGATTTTAAATCATTAACTTTTGACTTTTAAGAAATTATTTCTTATCGGGTGAAAACATAGACCCAGATTATCATAGATCAAGGCATAAAAATTATTTATTTCCTGATCAATGATTTATTCTCTGAATATTTGTATCATTGCTCTAACAAGTTTAAAGAGTTTTTTAAGAAAACTAACGACAAAAAATATGATCAGATAAGAACCCTCGACATAAATATAAGAAGTCTCAAGCGTAATCATGCAAGTAACATTTTATCAAACTGCTTTTTCGACCACCTGACAAGGAAAGTGAAAACTTGATTTTTTTTTTTCAACAACGTCTGTTTAAGGTAAGATTAAAAAAAAAAAGATTTCTACGACTACGAAATTTGAAATTTTTTTAGTAGCTGTTTACAATT